CTCCCAGAACTGGAATCTTGAAACATGTTTGGCTTTGCATGGGAGAAGACAGGGAAGAGGTCAGGACTTGTACCTCTTTCTTCCTTTTTTCCAGGCTTGGTGGTCCTCTTTGGGGCCCGTTTTCTACCTTCCTGCTCTGTCATGTACTTTTGTTGGCATTCTTCAGCAGATCGTGTTCCCATACTCTTTGCCACATCCAACCAGAAACCACTTTTGTGTTTAGGAAAAGAAGCCACTGCCCTATAAAATATGAAGGATTCAGTGAAGCACATTATGTTATGACTTTGGTATCAATAGCCTGATAGGTAGGCACTACATAGAATCTAAAAGCGGAAGTAGAAGAGAGAAGTAGAAAAGATCAGGAATTTGCAGAGATGTTGGGAGTTCTAAAGGAGGACAATTGTTCATAGGATTGCTTAGGGGATTAGAAAAATAAAGCTTACAGATAACTTTGTTGACTAACATGGAATCAGATTTCTTTATCCTTGCGTTAGAAAAGCTCTAATGTCACAACTTTACAGACACTATCTTTAGGGAATAGCAAAAGGGAAAATTATGGTCAGACCATCACTACTTGCCTGTACAACTTTTGCAACTCTTCTTCAGTCCAGTCTTCATTATTATCTGGAAGAGACTCCACAGTGTTCCCTAACTTCCTCTGGCTGTATGTCCTTTCAATCACAGGCAAGGTTTTTGCACTAGTTGCAATGTCACCATTAGTTCTCTTGGCAGCTATTTTTAACCTACTTTCTTTCACAGGAAATTCCTCAATGCTGTTTTCACTTTCAGTCTCTGATCCAAGAGCATTTTTTCTGGTTTTCTCGAACCTCTTCTGTGACTTTTGTCTCTTCAATTTCTCTAGCCCAGAACTGGTACACAAGTCAGGAGAAGAAATCTTGTTACGTAACTCTTCTAGCATGCTCTTCTGGCCAAAGTAAGAACATTTCATCTTTGTACTCTGAGAAGGTGCTACAGAATTCTCTGTACTTCTCTGCTCACATGATGGTTTTTGTGTATTATTGTGCTCCTTGTTGGATGTTTCTCTTTTGAAAGGTTGTGTTTTCCTTTTGATACATGGGAAATCTTCACTAGATTCATCTTCATCTGTGCAAGGGACACTTTCCACAACTTTCTCAGTTTGGTGACATTGTTTCAACAAATTTAATGGACATTTCAAAGTGTCTAACTCTCCATCATCCAAATTTCTTTCATAGCAAGTAATCTTTTCCCCCTCCTTAGCCACATTTTGCTCACTTCTGGACCTCCTTTTATCCTTTGACTGCTGCTTTTCTTGTGACATTTTCTTATTTAATGGTGTCAATGTAACAACGGCTCTCTTCTTGTAAATATCTTTAATGACAAATTCAGAATCATTTTCATCAGTGTCTGAAATAAGGTGTTGTGACTTTTGCTTCAATTTACATTCAGTTTTCCTAGTTACATTCTCTGATTTCATATTAATTCTTCCTAGGTAAAAAATAGTTTTGGAAGAAAGATTTGGAAATAAATGTTAGCTTAAGCTCTAAATCAATGAAAATAAATTATAATTTATTAATAGAATTAATTTATTCTCCACCTTTCTATTCTGGCATGTATTCAAGGCAGCTAACAGAATTTTAAAAGCAAAAACAAAACATAAAAATTTAAAAACAAAAATCAGTACTAAATCTTATACTAAAATTAATTCACCATTAAAAACATAACAAAAGAGGTGTGTCTTTTTAAAATATTGAGGGTGGGAGCAAAAGTCAGCTCCAAGGGAATGTGTCCCATACCACTGGAACAGGAGAAAATCCTCTCTTACATGCCAGAAAGGTGGTCTTTAAACAGAGGAGGCATTTTTAAAACAACATCTCCCACAGGACTGAACAGCCAGGCAAATTTATAACATGAGAGACAATCCTCTCCTTTAAGCCCCAACAGTTTATATTGTGCCTGGTAAACAACTGGCAACCAGTGCATATCTTTTCAGTACAGGTATATAATCCCTGTATCTTTCATAAACTATCAGCTAAACCGTCATATTTTACATCAACTGCAACTTCTAGAAAATTTGCAAGCATAGCCTATATAGAATACTTTGTATAGTCATGATACCAAGGTATGGAAAACTAGCCAAATGTACCTGGTACAAGAAGGGCTGCACAGGCACATAACATGTAAATGTATAGAAACATTCCTTGCCGCAACCAAGTCCAGCAAGAGCTGAGGATCACAGAGTACCCCCAGACTCTGAACCTGCTGTTTCAGGGAAGTGCAACTCCATCCAAAACAGGAACTTGAATCTCTGAGTCGAGTTTCCTATTTACCAACAGCAACTCTGCTTTGTCTTGATTTAATTTCAGTTGTCCTCCCTTTCCAACCCATTATTCATCAGTTACCTAGCCTGGACCATTTTAACCAGTCTTTTACTTTTGCAGTGGTTTGCACCAATTGACTAGGAACAATCTGTTCTTGCATACAGGGATCCCTACCTTTGGATCACCAAATCCACCCAAACCGAGTATCAAATCCCGTGTGTGTCCAGATTGATGTGTGGGGTAAAACAGTTGTTGGGACAGGGCCATGATCATCAGAGAAGATTACTTTTTAAACCATTTTGGACTGAGCACCCTCAATCTCCCAGTACAAGGAGTCAAGGTTAATTTAATGCCACACCCAGATTATCACAGCAGTTTGGGAAGACAGAAGACAGTGCACAGACCATATCCCTGCATAGTCCTGGCCACACAAATGGAGTAGCCTGCACTTTAAATTGTGAACTGTTGGCACATCATCAGGAGGACTGCAGACCATGGGAGCTGCATCTCCAATCCTAGTCTGCTGCAGGCTGCTATATTGCTAAGCAATACAGCAGATGGAGCAAAGAAAGATAAACTCTCCACAGTTCTCTTGCAACAATATTGTCCTTCAAAAGCAGGACAGATCTGCAATTTGGGCAGCACTGATAAAGATAAGCCAAAAACTCTAAAAAGCTGGGTCAGGGAATCTATGTTCCACTGGTTGCTAACTATGGCTGTCATCATCTCCCATCATTATCTCTGTCAGCTGGGGCTTCTGGGTATTAGAGTTCAACAATAACAGAAGAGTTACAGATTCCCCACCCCATCTTAGAAATTCTCATAGGGACCATTTTCTTACAGCTTTTTTGATATGCTTTGAATCTGTTTTAATTCTCTGTTTAATGTTGTTTTTATGTTCTACATTACATCAATTTATATTTGTCATGTTTATGGATATGATTTCTCTTTTTGAAGAGAAAAGGCAGGGCAGAAATAATTTTAGAAACAAAACCTGAATACTGGTAATCTAACTGACTTTTCCCTTAGAACAGAAAGGGAGAAGAGAACAAAACTTTTGGAACATTTCTTATATTTAAGGAAACTCTAACACAATCAAGTCCAGCTCATGCAACATTAATACTACAAAATATCCAAGTTTTGTCATAATATATACCTGAAAGAGTACAAGTCATGCCTTAGAAAACTTCATGGGGAAAGTTGCCAGCTATAAAGAAGGCTAATGCACACAGTTCCTGCCCAAATATCTACCTCTTTGATCATGCACTTAACTGACCTGAAGAAAATTCTTTTGTAACCTAATAGCAGTTATGACCCATTATCCACCATGTTCTCCAAGTAAAGGTGAGGAAACCAGTTCACTAATAGAAGTTCTGAATCAATAACTTCAAGAATAAACTGAATTAAAAGATTCTCTACCTTTAGCTTGATTGGGAGGCACTTCTTTATGATCCTTTAAAAGACTCCCACTATTTTTCTTTGGAGACTTGAAAGTCTGCCTATCCTCAAGTCGTGTGCTGTTCACTGTCTTGAGGAACAAGAAAACTAATATAAGCAAACCGAGCCATATAATTTCAAAAAATGCCATTCTATCCTATACTAGTCAAATTCCACCTTCAGTACTCTTCATTTTCTTAATACTATACTTTAAAAAGGATTCAGACAAATTGGAATAAATTGCAAGAAATGCATTGAGGATTATCAGGGAATAGAGGTTGTCTTGCAAGAAAAGGTACAGCCTTGGGAAAAGACAACTGGGTAATTATAGACAGGCTTTCTTCAACTACCTGATGTTGTTTCACCCAAAAGGCCACAACCTGTTCACTATCAACCCAGAATGCAAAATACAGAATAAGAATATTAACCTACACAGTAAATTCTTACAGGAAGGCATGTTCTAACTAACTGTTATAAAAAAAACTTTCTAATATATGACTTTGTAATTTTCTAAAAACTTCTGAAAGATCCTTTACTGGATGTCTTCAGGCAGAAACTTTGTTTTGATTTCTTGAACTGAGCAGGATATTAGGTTCAATGGTTTAAATGGTCTTTTCCAGCTTTATGATTCTATGATTTGAAGTTACTCTATAAATTTTGTTATCTGAATATACAGTACCTTTAAGGGTACAGTTGCTACTTTAAGGTAATATACAAGATTTCAAAATAACAATTTCAGAAATTGTTAAAAAATAACAGTACTGAAATAAGCATCAACAAAACAATAGAAATTATACATTCTTTAAAATTGTTCAGTAGAATCAGCAACCCAATAACGTGATCATTTTCCCTTTAAAATTCCAATCCTTCCTCTCCACATTTATTGAGGAAAACATACTGTAAATGTGGGACTATCACTACAAAGACTGTTTCTGGTCAGGCTCTTAATATCTACAGATAGAAGTGCTCAAAATGTTTCAAGTCAAAACTTTCCATCCTTGGAATGGTTGTACCGCACCAAGAGTATTCCAGCACTATTTCAATTTTTTTCCAGCACTGAAAGATTTTTCAGAAGATTCAAACCTCAGAAATATCAGGGAATGTTTGAAACCCAAAGTATCTCTATTAAGGATAACTATGGACTATTTGGGCCATCTGAGGTCATGCAGGAAAAAACAAAACAAGAAACAATAAACAAAGGACTCAAAAATAAGAAGGGAACTCCCAATGGTGAACAAGCAGGCTAAGTAATTGAAAACAGGAATCCTTCTGCCTCACCACAAGAACATCTGAAACTTTTGGTTCAGCCTTCTGGAGCAAGTAGAAGGAGCAAACTAGGAAAGGATGGTGTTTTGGTTAAAGAAAAAAAAACAACACGTTTATTCCTTAAAGCCCAAACCCAGCATTTTTAAACTGGGCCTGAAATGATGAAACCACATGTATAGCTGAGAGAAAACTAACATAATATGTTCTGAATGTCAGTCTGCTTGCTACCATAGTATGTACACATTTTATGTTTATGTTTGTATTTAAATATAAATATTTAAATGTTTATATTTAAATATAAAGATATTTAATATATAGATTTATATATATATTAATTATAATTATAAATATATTGATTATATTAAATATAAATATTTAAATGTTTATATTAAATATAAATATTTAAATACAGCACCATGAATAATGTATTCCAACAATTCATCCAAAATATAAACAGAGCATAGTGTATGTCCCAGAGACAAGATTAGCTTTGTCTAAAAAGGATTATCACAAGCCAACCACTTGGCAAAAGACAGCAAATAACAGACTCACTCACTGGTGTTATCTACGTCATTTTTTCAAAAAGTTGAATTCAGGAGCATCCTCAGAGTACTCAACTGACTCCTTTAGGCTCAGGGAAAGTGCAACCATTTCCAAGATAAAGTATACACCACTATCCATATCAGTGGATTTTTCAATCCATAGTACCCTCATCTTTCAGGAATTTTATTTCAGTTAATTTACACCCATCTATCCAAAATGCCTATGAACACCTGCTTAAGATTTCTATCACTTCCATCATTCCAGAATAATAATTAACAGAGAGAGAAAAAGAAATCTTACAGGTGATAAGTAGTTGGTACCTCCTTTGGTCATGGTGATATTTAATGCCTGATCAATAAGTATTCGTTCCCCACACCAGAACTGCATGGGTGGCCTAACACGCCGCCCACTACGGGTGAAACTTGTATCATGCTCACTCTGCAAATCAGTTGTTTTCATCTGCATACCTATCAAGGAAAACAAACAAGCAGACAAAAATATTCTTCAGCAACAGACACATTTCTACCACTGTGTAACAGGGCACTGAACTGTGAGTGCCAACGTAAAGTTGCAAGCACCCTCACAGACAACCAAAGGAAAAGATGAAGTAGCCCTACTGAGGATTTAATTCAATCCTCTCTGAATGCAGGATATGATGTGCACTGATTTCCTAAAAGTTTAGCTAATTTTTATTAGCTTAAGATAACTTCACTGCTACAAGACAGGAGTCTATAGAAGCAACAGTTATTGGTAATGGAAATTGTTAGTTTGGGTTTCTTTAAAACACTTAATACAAAAGGCTATTTCCTGCCACGTAACTTACCTGCATCTGGACATTATGTTCATCCGCATGTACCTCTTTCACAACCCATGGAATACATTCTCATCATTATATATGGAGCATAGAATTAACAAGGTAAATGGATTAATCTGGGCTAATACCCCTTTCCTTGTTTAGCAACCACAATCCGTTCCTTAAATTGGAAGTGAAATGGTCACTAAGCAAATACGTGACTGAGAAAGAGAGAAAGACGTTGCAAAGATCACTGGTTGCTGCTGTCTCATTTAGAGAAAGTTATCTTGTACAGCTATGCCAGAATTACTCTTATTCCAGTGTGTGTTGTGAGGTGCACAAAATTTTTTTAAAAGCACCGTCGTATTTGCAAACAGTCACTGTGGAGTCCTTGGGGTTCTCTGAGCTTGGTTCTTTTCTTGCAAGTGTTTCATTACCTGGCTAGGTAACATCTTCAGTGCTAAAATGGGATGGTGTTTGCTCTCTATTTATCTGCTGTGGCATGCTTTGCCAGTGCTGGTGGGGGTGGGGGTTTTTGTTTTGCTCCTCTGGTAGTTCCTTGATTAGCATATGTTTACTG